GGCTCAAAGTAATGGATAAAGATCTAACACTCAAAAGAAAAACAAAACAAGCAGAGACTGTACTTATATGAGATAAAACTGACTTTAAATCAACAACAGTTAAAAAAGGACAAAGAAGGTAATTACATAATGATAAAGAGTTCATTCAGAAGACTTAAGTATCTTAAATATATATGCATCCAAAATTGGAGCACCTAGATTCATAAAACATTCATAAAAAATTTCTAGACTTACAAAAAGACTTGGATAGGCACACAACAATAGTGGGGGAATGTCGAGACCTCAATCACAGCATTAGACAGATAACTGAGGCAGAAAATTAACAAAGAAATTCTGAACTTAAATTAAATGCAATGGACTTAACTGACATCTACAGAATACTCTGCAAAACAACCACAGAATAAACATTCTTCTTATCTTATCTGAACATGAAACATACTCAAAGATCAATCACATCCTTGGTCACAAAGTATTCAAAACAATCAAAATCATACCGAGCATATTCTCAGATCACAGTGGAATAAAAATAGAAATTAATTTCAAGAGGAAATCTCAAAAACACAAAATTACACAGTAACTAAACAACTTGCTCCTGAATGATTTTTGGGTAAATAACAAATTAAGGCAGAAAATAAAAAATTCTTTGAATCAAATGACAGCAAAGATACAACATACCAAAATCTTTAGGATACAGTAAAAGCAATGTTAAGAGAAATGTTTATAGTGTTTAAATACCTATATCAAGAAGACAGAAAAATCTCAACGATGTAACATCACATCTAGAGAAATTAGAAAAACAAGAAAAAACTAGCCCAAAAGGTAGCAGACAAAAATAAATAACTAAAATCAGAGCATAACTGAATGAAATTGAAGCCCAGAAATCTACATAAAGAATCAATGAAACCAAAAGTTGGTTCTTTGAAAGGATAAACAAGATCAAAAGACTATTGGCTAGATTAACAAAGAAGAAAAAGAAAAGATCCAAATAAGCACAATCAGAAATGACAAAGGTGACGTTACAACTGATGCCACAGAAATAAAAAAGATACTCAGGCACTATATTGATACCTCATTGTACAAAAACTAGAAAATCTAGAGTAAATAGATAAATTCCTGGAAACATACACTCTTCCAAGACTGAACCAGGAAGAAACCGAAACCCTGAACAGACAAATACTGACTTCCGAAATTGAATCAGTAATAAAAAACCTACTAAGCAAAAAAAGCCCTGGACCAGATGTATTCAGATGAATTCTGTAAAATATATAAAGAAGAACTGGTACCAACCCTACTGAAACTACTCAGAAAAAAAAAAAACAAAGGAGGAATCCTCCCTAACACATTCTATGTAGCCAGCAGCACTGATACCAAAACCTGGCAAAGACACAACAACAACAAAAAATTATACACCAATATCACTAATGAACATAGATGTAAAAATCCTCAACAAAATATTATTATAGCAAACTGAATCCAACAGCACATTCAAAAGTTAACTCACTATAATCAAGGAGGTTTCATTTCTGGAATGCCAAGTTGGTTCAACATACACAAATCAATAAATGTAATATGCCACATAAACATATTTAAAAACAAAACCATACCATCATCACAATAGGCACAGAAAAAGCTTTCAATAATGTCCAGCATCTATTCGTGATAAAAATCCTCAAATGCATCAAAGGAATATACTTCAAAATCATAAGAGCCATCTAAGACAAACCCACAGGGAACATCATACCAAACAAGAGACAACAGCTGTAACCATTCTCCCTGAGAACTGGAACAAGACAAGTATGTCCACTCTCTGCTCCTATTCAGCATAGTACTGGAAGTCTTCATGAGAGCAATAAGGCAAGAAAAAGAAACAGAAGACATCCATTTAGGAAAAGAATAAGTCAAAGTATCTCTTTTTGCAGACCATATGATTCTATATCTAGAAAACCCTAAAGACTCTAGCAAAAGGCTTGATAAACGATTTCAGTAAACTTTCGGGATACAAAATCAATCTACAAAAATTAGTAGCATTTCTAAATAATGCTTGAGTTATTGAGATAACGTTCAAGCTGAGAATCAAATCAAGAACACATTCTTATTCACAACTGCCACACACACACACACATTACCTAGGCATACATGTAACCAAAGAGGTGAAAGATCTCTATAAGGAGAGCTACAAAACATTGCTGAAAGAAATCACGGATGACACAAATAAAGGGAAAAACATCCCATGCTCATGGATTGGAAGGCTCACTATCATTAAAACGGCCATTCTGCCCAAAGCAATGTACAGGTTAAGTACCATTCCTCTCCATTTACCATGATTTTTCACAGAATTAGAAAAAAAAAAAAAAAAAAGCTATTCTAAAATTCATATGGAACCCAAACATAGCATAAATAGTCAAAGTAATCCTAAGCAAAAATGACAAAGCTAGAGGGATATTACCTAACATCAAACTATACTACAAAGCAACAGTAACCAAAACAGCATAGTACTGGTACAAAAATAGACATGCAGACCAATGCAACAAAACAGACAACCCAGAAGTAAAGTTACACATCTACAACCACCTGATCTTTGACAAAGTCTACACAAACAATGGGGAATAAACACCTATTCAATAAATGGTGCTGGGGTAAGTGGCTAGCCATATGCAAAAGAATGAAACTTGACTCCTAGCTTTCCATATATACAAAATTAACTCAAAATGGATTAAAGACTTAAAAATACCTAAAACTATAAAAATCCCAGATGAAAACCTAAGAAATATCCTTTTGGACACTGGTCTAGTCAAACATTTCATGACTAAGTCTTCAAGAGCAATCCAAATAAAACAAAAATTGACAAGTAGAACCTAATTATACTGAAGAGCTTCTACACAGCAAAAGAAACTATCAACAGAGTAAATTGACAACCTGCACAGGAGAAAATACAAACTATGCATCTGATGAAGGACTAATATCCAGAATCTATAAGGAACTTAAAAAACTTAAGTAAAAAATAAAGAACCCCATTAAAAAGTGGGCAAAGGATATGAACTGATACTTCTCAAAAGAAAACATACAAGTGGTCAATAAACATGAAAAAAAGGCTCATCAACACTAATCATCAGAGAAATGCAAATCAAAACTACAATGAGACACCACACAAGTCAGAATGGCTATTATAGAAAAGTCAAAAAAACACAGATGTTTGCAAGGCTGTGGAGAAAAGGGAATGCTTATACGCCACTGCTGGGAATGTAAATTAGTTCAGCCACTGTGGAAAGCAGTTTGGAGATCTTTCAAGGAACTAAAATGAGAACTGCCATTCTACCTAGCAATCTCATTACTGGGTATATACATAAAAGAAAATAAACAGTTCTACCAAAAAGACACAAGTACTTGTATGTTCACTGTAGCAGTATTCACAATAGCGAAGACATTAAATCAACCTAGGTGCTCATCCACAGTGAATTAAATAAAGAAAATATGGTACATATACACCAGGGAATACTATGCAGCCATTACAAACAACAAAATCACGTCCTCTGAATCAACATGAATGCAGCTGGAGTTGCAAATTCATGCAGAAACAGGAAAACAAATATTGCATGTTCTCACAAGTGGGAGCTAAACCTTGGGTGCATATGGACATATACATTAGAACAGATGCTAGGGACTCCAAAAAGAGGGATTGAGAGAAGGAGGCCAAAATCTGAAAAACTTCCTATCTGTGTGATGGCCTCAGCAATGCCCAATCCTCAGCACCACACAATATACTCTTGTAACAACCTGCACATGTACTCCATCAATCTAAAATTTTTAAAAAGACCTGTTAAAATGTGAAATAAAAATAAAATTTCTTATAGAGATAGATGTTCTTAAATATGCATATATTTTTATACTTTTTTCTGAAGGACTGTTTACAAGACATATGATACTGGCTTATAAATAAAACTATATTTAATTGATGAGAATTTTGTTGCTTTGCTTTCCAGAGCACAGCTTGAAATAAAACCAATACCAAATGTGTTTTTTTTTCATGATTTTTGTCCTCTCCGTTGGAATCTACTAAAACAGAATACACTAACCTAAGTTGTAGTAAATACAGTCTATGAGTAGTACACTGCCCATGTTTCTTTGCCCTTAATGCCTTAGTGTGTTCCAGCCTGACTTCCACCACCAGCACCTGCATTTCTTTGACTGGCTGGCTTTCTTTGACAGATGAAGTCCACCAGTGCTGGAGAAGTAATAACTCTGCCAAGAGAATAGCACTCAGCAAATGACTGATGAGATCTGGTGTATAAATACCTCAGCTCCCTCACCACTGTAGTAGGAAAATACGTACCTTTTCCAAAAGAAAAAGTAGAAAAAGTCAGAGAGAAAATGAAAAACTGTTCATCTTCACCACCCTAATACTGTCTCAAAGACAGTATGTTTCTATGTTGATTTATCACAGTATTTCCTACTCATGGAATGTAAGGAGAAGGCAACAAACTCAGTTATGTGAATTCAGTGGCAGTCACTAATGTGAACTCTGCTACTAATGTAACAGCACATCAATTTCACTTTTACTTCTGTGGCAAAGAGCTCCTAACATTCTAATACAATGACCACTAGGGTTTTTGACAATGTCGTAATTAATCTCTTCTGAAGAAAATTAAATTTACCATGGATGGGAGGGACACTGACTACAAACTGTTCCAATTTCCTCTAGTGCGGTTATATATTATTGCCATAGCAGTAGATAAACTTGAAAAAATAGTGTATGCACGTATATTTGATACGGTAGATACTAATTTTTAAAATCAACATTAAAGCGAACTTCATCCTTAAAAAAAGTAATATTGTGTGTGTGTGTGCGTATGTGTATATCTGACACAGGTAGTAAATTAGAAAGAATATATATTTTGAATTACAAACAGCATATTTTCCTACTAAATACTAAACATAATTTCTTATTCCTGAATTAAGCTGGATTAAACTTCAGAATATTCATGCTTACAAATTATACTTACCACTTGTCCATTGTGTGGGTTCTTATGAGCATATGGAGGTCCACGGATATGGTTCCACATCTGGCCAGAAGTCATAGCAAAGACTATACACTGAAAAACAGGGTGCAATATATCAATATGTAAACCAAAGAATACCAGAATAATGCATTTCTAAAAGACAATGGTCATCAAGAAACTACCTTTTAAAAATCATATATCAGCTCACCCATTTAAAAAATTTTCACTTATTAACTATGTGACTTTGAGTAAGTTACTTATTCTCCCTACATCTCAGATTCCATATCTATAAAATTGGGATGCCAGCTCTGTTAAAGAAATATGTTAATGATTGCATCGGGTAACATATGTAAAGCATCTGACCTGGTGACAGGCAATCTGATATTATGTGCTCACCTGAGCCAGTCAGAAGCACAGATGACACGCTTGATGTTTTAGTGATATTTTAAAGGATATGATAATCATCTTCTATATCCTCTAAACATCATTCTTCTATTAGTTTGGATAACCAAAAGCCTGCATTCTTGGATTATGGTACTTAAATCTCTGTTAAGTACCTAAATACTTTCAGCAAAGTGTACGACATAGTAAATTCAGAAGATGTTAAGAGATAGAAGAAATCACAAAAAGACACAGCCAGGAATAACTCACAGAGATTATATACCTGCTGGATGTATCAGAAAAAACTGTATTTGGAAAACTAATATTGAAGATCAAGGCATTGCAGGGAGGGTGGGCAGAGAATGTATAAACCAGAAGTCACAGTTCAATCAGTGTAACTGAGATGTCAGAATGTTTTGTTTAAATCATAAAATATTTTTAAGTTAATGAAATGGGACTCCTTTAGACCAAATATGTTCTCTAGGTCAAAATGGTACCTGGGCTTCCTGATGTCCTGTATCTTGCCCAATCACTCCTTACTTCAGCTTCCTGGCTCTGATAGGCATTTGTACCAAAAACAGTACCACCACCACCACCACCACAAACACCAAAGACAAGAATGAGCAACATATGACTGGGAGTCTAAATGTTCTAGGTTAGCACAATTTTTAAAGAAGAAAAGGATACAAAAGGGAAGAAGTAAAGTGGGGCAAATAAGAAACAATATCTAAACCCAGAAAATACATTTGGATTGTGTTTTCTGCTTGGCAGCCAAAGTGTTGCAACAGATAATGACACAGCTTTAGAGGGGTTAATCTGAAGCCCTTTCTGACTTTCTTGAGAATAACTCTGAAATTAACTCAGACTTTTTAAAAGCCAGATTTGTCTTACAGACTAAGCCTAGGTTGGAATATTTTCTGAGTCAGGATTTTATAAAATATTTTCACTTAAACTTGGTAAACAGACTAGATAGACTATTAAGCCCAGGGTGAGCACAGAGAGTGATTCCCCATCTAAAAACATCAATTAAAAATTTGAAATTGTTATATGAGAGAAATAAATTCTATATTTAATGTATAAGAGTATCGTATCAGTAAATTTGGAGTATACATTAAAGTTGATTATTTATGCTATAAATATAACATAGTGTTTTAGGCAGACTATATTTTAAAATCCAGAAAAAGGAGCCAGACATGGTGGCATGTGCTTATAATCTCAACTACTCAGAAGACTGAGATGGGAGGATCCCTTGAGCTCAGGATTTCAAACCCAGCCTGGGCAACAGAATGAGCCCTTAAAAAAAACTGCAGGCCAGGGACAGTGGCTCACACCTGTAATCCCAGCACTTTGGGAGGCTGAGGCAGGTGGATCATTTGAGCTCAAGAGTTTGAGACCAGTCTGGGCAACATGGCAAAACCATCTCTACAAAAAAAATAAATAAATAAAAATAAAAATAAAAAATTAGCCAGGCATGGTGGTGTGCACCTGTAGTCCCAGCTACTCAGGAGGCTGAGGTGAGAGGATCATCTGAGCTGGGAGGTCGAGACTGCAGTGAGCCATGATCATGTGACTGCATTCCAGCCTGGGCAACAGAGCAAGACCCTATCTTAAAAAAAAAAATCCAGGAAAAGATACATCTTGTGAGCAAAAACATTTATAGTATAAACAAATTACCTTTTGTTTTTAATAAACACTTGGTAATACTACAGTTTTATCTTTTTATGCCCTAACCCTTGTCACTAAAACAGCAACAGTAACTATGGTATATACCTTTGGTTTTGCTTTTATGTATATGTTCACTCCTTCTCTCCCTCCATTTACTGATTCCATAATATTCCAATACTGAATTACAAAAGCACATGGTGAAGTATGTATTTTAGAAAGAAGGCACTAATTACAGTTTGGAGAATAGACTGGAGACATCAGTTTGGAGGCTGATGCATAAATACGAGAGACTACCGTGGTCTACTTCATGATACAGGTAACAATTGAGAGAAGCAGACATACAGGGCAAATATTTAATAGGTGGAGTCAGTAAGTTTTGGTGATTGAGTGATGTGATAGAAAATAAAAGAATCAAAACTAACCCCACTGTTTCTGATATGACTGGAGCAGCAGAGTAGTATGGCCCAGTGAGATACAGAGTGACAGAAGCATGTAAGTGAAAGGGAAGCAGGTTACAAAGATCTGGAGTTCAGTTTTAAAATGACTGATTCTAATGTGCTTTCAAAACATTCACTTCAAAAAACCACTGAGATGTCTACGAGACACTTGCATATACTGTTTAATAACAGTCATCTAGGAAAAAGCTATAGATTTGGGGATTGTGAGCACATAGTTGGTTACTATAGTCATAGGAATGGATGAAGTTGTTCTAGGACAGTAGGTAGGGTGGGAGAAGAAAAGCAGGCATAGAAAATAATCCCATAAGCTGGTTCATGAACAGCTGCCCAGGAAACTGGGACGCACAAGTCAGAGAGTTAGAAAGAAAATGAAGAAAGCAGGTAAACTGGCTGAGCGTGGTGGCTCATACCTGTAATTCCAGCACTTTGGGAGAGTGAGGCAAGAGGATCGCTTGAGCCCAGGGGTGAGACCAGCTGGGCTAACATGGCAAAACCCTGTCTCTATAAAAAAAAAACACAAAAATTTGTTGGGCATGGTGGCGTGCACCTGTAGTCTCAGCTACTCAGGAGGTTGAGGCAGGAGAATGACTTGAGCCCAGGAAGTGAAGGTTGCAGTGAGCCAAGATCATGTCACTGCACTCCAGCCTGGACATCTCCTAAGGGCAGGGGGAGGGGAAGGAAGGGGGGAGAGGCAGAGACAGAGAAAGAGAGAGAAAGAGAGAGAAAGAGGAGGGAGAGAGAGGAGGGAGATGGAGGAGAGAGAGAGAGAGAGAGGTGGGGGGAGAGGGGAAGAAGGAGAGAGAGAGAGAATGAGAATATAAAAAGTCTTTCTTTGTCTATAAAAACATTTAACCAACTAAGATATTCACAAACAGGAGTATCTACCCAAGAACCTTCTATGCTCTTAAGACCTACCACTGGTATGTTTAAAGTACCTTGCCTAGAACTTTATTATAATAGTTGGGAATGGAGGCTTGTAAATTGTAATACTCAAGTTGCAGACGTATCTTCAGCACCTGTGCAACCTTGAGCAAGTCCATTGCTTTGGGCCTCAGTTTCCTATCTAAAACATTAGGATAATACTGGTATCAATCTTCCTAAACTGCAGGGGTTTTAAGTAGGTTAATCCATGTAGAGTACTTAAAAATTGCACACAATACACAACACATGCTCAATAAATATTATTATTATTCCAAAGCCCTCCACAATTTGCTCCCATACTCCTAAATGGCTCTATGTGCTAGCACGCCTTAACTGGCACTGCACTCTCCATTCAGGCCACTCTTCCTGCTTCCCCCTGCATCCATGATGGTAATGCCTGCATCCACATCTTGTTAATGCTATGTCAACCCAGTCAATCTTCTACTAAAACAGGGTTAACTCATGGCCCATAGATGGTTCTCCACAGAACCCTTCCAGTTTGTTTTATTTATTTAACAATTACTTACTGGAGTACTACTGTATACCAGACACTAGAGATGTAAGAATTAAGTAAAATCAAGAGGCTTCCCATCCTCAGCTAGAAATCTTGAATAAGTAGCATGTGCCCTGATATTTAAAAAAGATTCATTTATTCACTCAAGATACTATATATTTAAGAACTGATTTAGAAGCAGAGAATAAAGCGATGAACAAAAATATAAGATAGAAAACTGTCATCAAGAAGCTTACATTCTACACGGAGGAAAAGAGACAACAGCAGTAGCAATACTAGTTATGGTATGTCACAAGTTTAAAAAATCATCTTAATACATGATTTATTCAAGATGCCAGGAAATGGTTTAATAAAACAAAACCAGGTTCAAACCTGGAATAACATGCAGAATCATTTGAAGTAGTGACAAATGTATTTATTCATACAGCTCTGGCACTTTTCATAAGAAACAAGAAAACAGTAAGTAACATGCACTTCTAAAATGCAAAACAGCCTAGGTTTCAGTTTATCAAAATTCTTATAACTGATGCATCCTTTTTTGGTTGTAACAACTGACATGTCACCATTTCACTACTTTCAGCAATCTGGAAGTTTTAGTTTTGCAATTAATCTGACTAAAATATTTTTATTTAACTATATTCATACAAAAAAGGCATGATTCATAGTTATAGCTAGATTAATTTTCACAAAACAAACACATCCTTGCGACTAGCTTTGAAGTCAAGCAAAGGAACGCTATCAGAAAGACAGGAGCTCTCCCGTGTCTCTTCCTAATCATCATCTACATAACCTGCCCAAGGTAAGGAACATTTTCTGGAAAATTCTGTATCACAGAGTATGTAAGTACTCAGCTTTAATAGATATAACCAAATACATTTCTCAGGAGGTTGAATGAAATTTATATTCCACATAGCGGTACATGAGAGATCCAGTTGATATCCATCTTCACCAATTATTGGTACTAGCTGTGTGCCTCTGTGTGTTTATTCTAGTTTTTCTGGTAGAGGCATGATAGTGTCACATTGTCATTTTATTTGCATTTCCCTGATTAATAAGGTTGAATACCTTTTCACATGTTTAGTGAAATTTGGACATTTTTGTAAAGTACCCAGCACGCCATTTACCTCTTTTAAAACTTGGTTGTCTTTTTCTTC